TCTCTGCAGTGTCTGCAGTGTTGCCCTCTGCAGTGTCTGCAGTGTCTGCAGTGCTGTCCTCTGCAGTGTCTGCAGTGTTGCCCTCTGCAGTGTCTGCAGTGTCTGCAGTGTCTGCAGTGTCTGCAGTGCTGTCCTCTGCAGTGTCTGCAGTGCTGTCCTCTGCAGTGTCTGCAGTGCTGTCCTCTGCAGTGTCTGCAGTGCTGTTTTCTGCAGTGTCTGCAGTGTTGCCCTCTGCAGTGTCTGCAGTGCTGTCCTCTGCAGTGTCTGCAGTGCTGTTTTCTGCAGTGTCTGCAGTGTTGCCCTCTGCAGTGTCTGCAGTGTTGCCCTCTGCAGTGTCTGCAGTGTCTGCAGTGCTGTCCTCTGAGGTGCTGTCCTCTGCAGTGTCTGCAGTGTCATCCTCTGCAGTGTCTGCAGTGTCATCCTCTGCAGTGTCTGCAGTGTCTGCAGTGATGTCCTCTGCAGTGTCTGCAGTGATGTCCTCTGCAGTGTCTGCAGTGTCATCCTCTCCAGTGCTGTCCTCTGCAGTGTCTGCAGTGTCATCCTCTCCAGTGCTGTCCTCTGCAGTGCCGACATGCTTTCTCACCTCTGTGGTGTTGTTCATGCCGTCCCTTCATCTTGGAATACTCTTCTATACAACAGTCTCAAGAAAATGTCAACTTGGCTTTTTTTTAAATTAATTTATTTATTTAGGTTTTTTTTTTTTTTTGGTGATTTGGGGGATGAAACCCAGGATGTCACACAGGCTGGCCATGTACTCTAACACTAAGCTACAACTGCAGCACCCCCAACTCATCTCTCAAGATAGATCCAAGAGTCCCTTGCACTATCCCTCCTCCCAGCAGCAGAAGCAACAGCATCTCCACCTGACTCTCCACAGCACGGCCTGTGTGTGTCTCTCCTGGTCCTTATTCACCATATCACCCATCCATCTAGTCACTGAAAAATATCCACTCTCTTTGCAGGTTGTAGCAGATAATATGATAAGTCCTGGGAATTCAGGTAACTAAGTTCCTGTATAGAGGGGGCTTTAAAAAGTACACCAATTTTTTACAGGGAAGAGTTCTACCTTTTTTGTGGTAAAGGTAAATACTAGCGGTTTTTGAGATCAAAGGAAGGCCATATACTCTAGTTTGATTGATAGATTACCTGCAAGGCTTCTGAGAGGAGGAGGCACCCAAATGGCCCAAAGGACAGGAGTTTTCTTATCTATTTCCCGTTTCTTGGCAGAACACTCCATGAGGAGTGAGGTCAGTCATAGATCATATCAAATCAGGTCATTTATGCTACATGTTTATTGAGTCCTTTGCAAGGAGACAAACTGTTACTGTGATGTAGTTTGAAAAGTAGGAAGTAGCCACTGAGAGTCGGAGGAGAGGGTGGAGGAACAGCAGAAGAGCTCAAGGATTAGTTCCCAGTTTAGGGAACAGGCAGGTAGGAGACTGTAGCTGTTTGGTGCAGGCACTGGATGGTACCCTCACCAGAGCAAGCCCTGCAGGAGGAAGGGTGCCAGTTGGTGCTGGCGCCATGGCACCGGCACTGTCAGAACACTGCAAGGGACAGCAGCTGGGAGAATTGTGTGCTTTTCCTTTTTCTTCAAAAGAGAGTTTCTCCCCATTTTTTCTCTTTTATTCTATTTTCATACAGTACATCCCAATTTCTCTTCCCTCCATTCCTTCAAGTGCCTCCCCCAACATCCCCTCTCCCCCAAGATCTGCTCCTCCTTCATTTCCCTTAAAAAAAAAAAAAAAGAGCAGGTCTCTCAGGGATATCTATCAAACATGGCCTAACAAATTATAATAAAACTAGGCATAAACCCTCATATGAAGGCTGGATGAGGCAACTCAGTAGGAGAAAAGGGTCCTAAGAACAGGCAAAAGAGTCAGAGACATCCCCACTCCCACTGTTAGGAGTCCCTAAAGAACACCAAGCTACACAACCATAAGGTATATGCAGAGGACCTCGTGCAGACCCATGGAGGCTCTGGGATTGCCTCTTCAGTCTCTGAGCCCCTATGAGCCCTGCTTAGTTGAGTCTGTGGACTGTGTTCTTGTGGTGTCAAAAGAGAGTTTCTATTCTACGTAGCTGAGCAGAGAGGTCCATGTTCCTGCATGTTCCTCTGGCTCACTGTCTTTAGACACTAGGAATCTCTGCGGGGAATCACTCACCTTTTCCATGTTTGGACCATTTGGACATCTTACCAGAGGGTATTATAGAGGAAGCTTGACACTTAGGTACAAATCTTAATAAGGCATTCAGTTGTTAACTATGTTACTGTTCAGCAATTGGGGCTACTGATTTCACTATTGTGAAATAAATAGTTAACAATCAAAAGTTGATTTTAGATATTAGGATTATCTAAGGTTCTTATATGGTTAGGGAAGACACTTTCACCCAATTTTATTTCCCCTACTTTTTCATAGTTTTATGATAAAAGTTAAGTAAAAGATAAAATAGTTTTATTTTCCATAGTGGGGGAAATTAAGCTGGAATTTTGATTGCCAAAAATTCTATATTAAAACCATTAATCCCTTACAATTTTAATACAACATTAATACATTCTAAATAATCCCTTTCTCAGGGTCTGGCTCTCTCTAAAGCATCCCTGGGTTCCCATTTGACTTCCAGTTTCATTCTACACAAACATGGTTTTAAACAGATGTACGGTATACAAGTCTTTTAAAACTATCTGCTCTTTGTAAATCTTCATTGCTAGTCTGTCCTTCTTGCATCTCTTTTTAGAGTTCCTGGGCCCCAACATGTTCATCTAATTACAGGAAAACATAGTCTCCAAGAAGCAGTGGGACAAAAGTGTACCTGTTATCCCTGATGTCCTTGTCTCTGTACCCTGCTTTCCCAATAACACTGGACTTGCTTTGTTATGAGCCCTGTCCTCTCCCACCTCTCTGAATTCTGTCCTCAAGTGTATCTCTAGTTCAAGCTGTTTGATTGTGAACCATAAAGTCTTCTTCTCTGCCATTTAGATGAGATCTTATTCATGGATTTATTGAAAGGAGGCTGCTTGTTGGTTCCCAGCAGCTTGGTAGCTCAGACCCAAAATAACCACACAGAAAACATATTATTTAAATCACTGCATGGCCCATTAGCTCTAGTTTTTTATTTGCTAACTCTTACATATTAATTTAACCCATCTCCATTAATCTGTGCATTATCACAAGGTCATGACCTACCAGCAAAGTTTCAGCACGTCTGTCTCCAGTGGCGGCTCCATGGCTTCTGTCTAACTCTGCCTCCTTTCTCCAAGCATTCAGTTTGGTTTTCCTGCCTAGCTCTGTACCCTTATAGCTCTGCTATAGGCCCAAAGCAGTTCCTTTACTAACCAATGGTATTTACAGCATCCAGAGGAGACTCCTACATCATGGACTGATGCCATGTTTTGAAATAAGTGAAAGGGAGGTGGGGTAAAGTTTAGCTTTGACTTAGCTACATAAAACATTTCTCTAGGTAGGTGTATATAGTACAAGCACTAGACTTAGGAGAATATAATAGCCTTTGTCTTCTAAGAGATGGTTTCACAATATACCTCAGGGTAACCTCAAATTCAAAAGCCTCTGGCCTTAGCCACCCAAATGCTCTTATTAGCTTTAAGACAAACAAATAAACAAGGGATTGGGAAAGTGACTCAATGGAAAAGGCTCTAGCCACACAACCAGAGACCAGATTTCAGATCCTCAGGACCTACTTTAAAGTGGGTCTGGATGGTTCCCCACCTGTAATCCTACAGCTAAATTAGAAGGCATCTGACATCAGTCTCTGATCTCTGAATACATGTTCACATCCATGCATGTATATGTGCCTAAACATGCAAATGTTCATAGACGTGTGCATATACACCATACACATGAACATGCAAACAAATACATAAAAACAACAAGTGACTATTAGTAGAAACACCATTTCCACATTTTCATCTAGTCATGAAGCACCATGTTAAGGCAGTCATTTCCCATTTATTTTTACCTGCATACTCCAAGAATATTTGAAAATGTATTCTCCTTGTCCACTGTTAAGTAAGCATCATACGAGTTTTATGTTAAGTTAAGGCAGTGCATGGCAGTGTCTGACTATGGCAGATGTTACCATTAGGAAGTGAAGTTCTTACTTTGATCAGTGCTTCCTAAGGAACCCTCCTGGGATTTGCTACTGAAGGGTGTCATGCAGTCTATCATCTGCTAGTGAATATTCCATGAGCAGGCTGTTCTTTCTCCCTTCCTCAGTGATAGAGGCTGAAGTCTGGGCCTTTCACCTGCTAGGCAAGTGCTTTACCACTGGGCTGCAAACCTAGCCCAAATAAGCTTTTTGTTGTTGCTGTTTTTCTAAGTAAATATTTTCAGCATTTTTCTCCATTCTTCTCTAACAACAGGATTATATTCCAAAATAAATAATGTTTTTAGGCTTGAAAGTCTTTTATCGGTCATTGTGTCACATGTCTTTCCCTTCTTATCAAAAGCCAATAAATAAATGAATACATGTGTTCTGATTAGTTTTTAGTGTCAACTTGACTCAACCTAGAGCTGTCTGAGAAGAAGCACCTCAGGTGAAGAATTGCCTCCAACAAGTTGACCTGTGGGTTTGTCTGTGCATCATTTTCTTGGTTGCTAATTGATTTAGGAAGGTTCAGCCCACTGAGGGCAGTACCATCCTAAGCAGGTCTTCTTGGGCTGTATAGCAAAGCTAGTAGAGCATGGGCCAGTGAGTGAACCCGTAAGTAACTTTCCTCCACGTTCCTGCCTTGAGTTCCTCAGTGATGGATTGTGACCTGGAAGTGCATGCGAAATAAAAACCTTCATCCCCAAGTTTCTCTTTTTGGTCATGGTGTTTGTCACTGCAAACTAATAGCTATGTAAGTTTAAGGCTACAAGTATTCAAATTTTTCTGGATTTAGTTATTATTAAGGTAGAATTAGTTAAAACGCAAAAGATATTAAATCTGATGCATAATAATTCAACACAAGAAGGACTTTTTTTATTAGAATTGCTGAAAGTAGTAAGTCAAGTGGCGTTTTCTTGAGAGCTTCTCTTCCCCATGGTGAACTGTTTACTGCTGGAATGTGGCAGGGTACAATATCCTTTTTGTTCCCATTTATGTTGTTACAGAGACAGGCATGGAGAATCTGCTCATATAAATAAGTCAGAGGGGATGGATTTACTAGCACTGTCAAGCAATCTATTTCAGAGATGTAAAAAAAGGTCATGCAGTCATTTATCATGAAAATATTATAATGGTCTATCCATTGATGATTCCATTAGGATGTCCTTCAGTTCCATTAAAAGTCAAGAGTCTGAAACTGCCTTTCTTCCCAGTCACTCAACTCCGGTTCAGTGATGGTGCTTGCAACGGTTCCTTTGTCAAACAGAGGCTTCTACACTGTGAGCAGTGAACCAGCACCAGCGTTTGTTTTTCTTTTGTAAGGATGGAGACAGGACATGGATAAAGGACAAAAGGACCATCAGGAGGAGTCATCAAACATGCTATTATCTGTCAAGAGTACTTATGGGACTTGGGGACATTAACTCGACTCTTAGCACCCTTCTTCCAGATGCACCCTTTGAAAGCCCTTCCAACAGCATATCTCTTTAAAATATACTGTGGTAAAAATCCATGTTAGGTGCCATGATTTATTTACTTGACAATAAAGCTTCCTTTCTCAGAATTCCTATTAATATATAAAAGAATAAATGTTCTCAGAATAGTTCCTAGGAAACCTCTAAAGTAGAGGTTTGTTTAATAAATTTTAATTGGCTCCCCAATTAATAAGATCGAAAGCTGTGAGCTAGAGATTGTTGCAGTTGTAGAACAGATAAGATGATGATGAATGAGAATGATGGGAAGAAGAAGGACAAGATGAAGAGGATAAGAAATGGACTGTGGTCATTGTGTGTGGTTCACAATGCAGAGATATCCAACAAGCCCTGGCAAAGACCAACAGAACAGAAGTCCCTTGTATAGCACAACATTATCTTTCTGGACAGGTAGCTATGGACTACAGCAGTTGCTCAATAAACAACAATGTCTACAGGCTACCTCAGATTTTCAGTTGCTATGTCATTGGGTGAGGCCATAACATGTCCCGAGAGACGGTGTTGTGGCTCATTTCAAGTTGCAATATTGACAAACCTGTAGGACATTCTCCATTGTCTTTCTCCTCTTCCACCAAAGCTGCCTCAGATAGAGATGGTGATGCTTCCTGGACCCATGAGACATGGGGAGGACAATTGCCCTGGAGAAATATAATGGACTTTAGGTAAAGGTAAAATAAATGAGAAAGTTTTTGCTAAGACACTATATTTTTAAAAAATTAATTAAAAATATTAACTTATGTTTGTGTCTCTGTGAGTGTGGGCCCTTCCATGGAATCCAGAAAAGGTCTCAGCTCTCCTGGAGCTGGAGTTCCCGGCAACTGTGAGCCACCTATGTCACTGCTAGGAATGGAGCTCGAGTTCTCTGGAAGAGCAGCAAGTGCCTTTAACCAACCACTGAGCCATTTTTAGCCCCTTAAATTAATTAAGCTGCCTACAGAATAATTTTATTATGGCACCTTCATATGTATGAATCAATATAATTTGTTCCTATTCTTCCTCCTATTGCTAGTCTCTTCTCTCCAGACAGTTTCGCCTTTGCTTTCACGTTCATCCTATGACCTTTTCATTCCCCCCAAGGCTTTAAGATCTTTTCCTTCTCTTTCAAAGTCCCCTTTCAACCTCCAATAATGTAGTACCCTGAAAACCAATGTGTTAGGTACCAGGGTTTGCTTACTGGACTATAAAGCTTTTTCTCAGAATACCCATTAATATCTGAAAGAATACTGATCAGTTACAGTCTTAAATATAGGTTCTACATATAACAGAAAAATACATAGGAAAATATTTTTTAAATGGCTTATTTTTTTTAACACAATGATTTCCAATCCAATCTACTTTCCTACAAATTTTGCAAATGCATTTTTCTTTACAGCTACATAAAATGCCACATCTCATTATCCCTTCCATCTGTTGATCAGATTGTAGGCTGCTTCCATTTCCCCATTCTTGTGACTAGTTCAGCAACAATCATGGCTATGAAGTAGCTCTACGATATGTTGCAAGTCACTGATACCTTGCAGTGACTCATAGTTGTAAAGTAGTAAAGTCCTTGGGGTGGTTGGAATGAGAATGTTCCCCACAGGTTCACACAGTTGAACACTAGGTCTCAAGTGAGTGGTGCTGTCTGTACAGACGTAGGCGGCTGGAGAAAGTGTGTCAGCAGAGGTGAGCTTTAAAAGATGTGGGCCTTTTCCAGTGGCTCTTTCTTTGTGCTTGCAGTTTACTGGTACCACAGTCATCAAAGGTGGAAACTGGAGACCTGCCTCTGGCTCTGGCTCTGGCTCTTCCCTCCTTCTCAGCCTCACTCCGGCTCCTGCCTCTTTGCCCCTCTACCCCTGCCCTGGAACTGATGTTTAAACCTCTATCATTGATTACTGCACAGTATCTATTCGCTCCTTCGTGTTAGCATCTCCCCCATCCCTCTCAAACCCATGCTCATCCTTGGGCATGAAATTCCTTAAGTTCCCACAGTTTTTTTATTTAATGCTACCAAGCTTCATGGGTAAGATCAAGTGCAGCTCCTCCAGGACCCAGGACCCTTGAAGCCTGCTCCTTGAACACCTACCTCTATGGCAAGCTGCTCTCGTTTTCCACCCATCCTGAGAAGTGCACTAACAGAAGTGTAAGTAAATGCTCCTCTTGGGGTCTTTGTTTTGTCCTCAACACCATCCTAACACCACAGCAGTTCTGTGGACAGAGCTGGCAGGACAACTGTTGTGTAGTCTCCCACACGGGGACTTTTTGATTCCGTAGAGCACGGGAGGACGGCAGGGTTCCTGGGGAGGCTGCCAACAGTGGAGCGATGACAATTGGGTTGCGTACCTGCTCTGACACTTGTCATCTGTGTGGGCCTGGGCAATCCCTCTGGTGTCTGTCTTTGGAAGTACAAAAATGCCACCTAAGGCCCCCAGGGTGGACCAAGGGCAAGTTGCAGCAATTGCTACATCTTTAGGAGTGGGCAGAACATGACGAGCACTTTCTATGAGGACTGGGGGTTGGGGGCAGCCGATGAAGGCACTTTGTGAGCAGTCATGGCTCTGCTACTCACTTGGAAAAGCTCTCTGAAGAAGTTATTTCCCATATGCTGACCTCCGCTCTCCCTGAAAGCAATGATGTTGCGCTTGTTCACAGTCATTAGACTCATTGTCACTAGTCTCCTGTCAGCAATGCAACTCTGGGTTATGAACTGTGGCTTGCCCCAAAGTGGTGTAAGCATCCATCTCCTTTTCCCTCTGATGTGCTCACCAGGGCACATACCACTGAAGATGACATCACTGAGGGGAAACAGGCTGATTGTATCCTGAGCCAGAAGGTTAGAGATGCTGTGTTTCTTGGACTGTAGCAATGAGCTCTGTCCAAAAGAGCAATCTAGATTTTTGGCATGAGTTCCCTGTTCAAATGCATAGAATTTACTGTCATATGACTGCAAAGTGATAGATTCTTGTCAGACCCAGGTCAAATCCAGGTCCGTCCCAAGGGCCATTGTCTCCCTCCATGACATCTCATCACCTCTTACAACTCCCAGGGGTCTGGACACAGGGAAGATGGCTACTGCTCTCTCTGCCCACCTCTGGGATAGCATCTGGAATAGCAGCTCCACTCACTTTCCTCCTAGCCGCCATGCTTCACTGTTATCTCACTGTGCAGTTTGAAGATAAAATGTGATAAATAGAGCCATATTGTCATACTGCCCCTTTAATGAGTTTCTTTTCATAACTTCTTAAATCATTTCTTATTTTAGAGATTTTATATGTGTAATGTGTGTATCTTAGTATACACACACACATATATATATATACACACACACACACATATGTACTATCTATGTGTAGATGCACACAGAAGTCAGAAGAAGGTATTTGATTCCTTGTGACTAGAGTTGCAGGCAGTTGGGAGCCATCATGGGTACAGGAACAGAACCCTGGTTCTCTGGAAGAGCAGCCAGTGCTCTTAACCACTGAGTCATTTCTCCAGACTTTGTGTGTATGAATGTGTTGCCTGCATGTGTACATGTGTACCATATGTGTACCTGGTGCTTTCAGAGGCCAGAAGAGGATCCCCTGGAACTGGAGTTACAACCAATCATGAACCACCATGTGGGTGCTGGGAACTGAAAGCGTGTCCTCTGCAAGAACAGCAAGTGCTCAGAGTCACCAAGTCTTCTCTTCTCCAGCCCCTGAGTACATGATTTTTAATAGCTTTGTGCTTCCCTTATATTTGGAGTAGCCAGAATAAAGAGCTCTGAAAGAAGGTTTAAACTGAACAGCACTTATTTGGCCACCGTGACAGGAGACAAATGCTGTCATGCTCCAAACCATGAAGCTGAGGACAGTGATTGTCCCTTTATTTCTCCCTGCTCTGGACTCAATATATCCCCTACAGTTCACGTGTCAGAAGCTTAATCCCCAGGACAATAGTGTTGGGAGGCCGCATATGTATGGGGTGACTAGGTCAGGCCTCTGCCTTTGTGCGTAGATGGAGGTCCTATCTTGGCGTTGGGGGTTGACCATAGCAAGAGTGGGCCTCTGCTTTCCACCATGGGATGATGTATTAGGCCCCCAAGAGATGCTGACCCCCTGATATTTCGCTTGTTAGCCTCCAGAACTAAGAGGATTACAAAGTGAGCCTTGTCAGTCTCTGGTGTCCTGTTGTAATAACACAAAACACACTAAAGCACTACAAAGTTCGAAATTCATTGAAGGATAGTCCCAGGCAGGTTCTCCCGAAGAGAGCTAAAGGTCAAGAATCCAAGTTATTTGACATTCATCCATCCTTTGGCATCTTGTGCTCCTGGAATCTTGTGTCTTGGTGGAGTGGGAGAAAGATGGGACAGAGGAAGGGATTTGCTTTCTGTCTCACAACTCTTGTGTCACGTGTTCAACCACAGATTATATTCTGAATTATTTTATCCTTTCTCCATTTACTTCACACACAATTACTGTATGCACCTTAGATAAGTGGCAGGCTCGATGTGAACTAGACACTGGAGGCCTCGCTCTCCAGGATGTTCCTAATGCTGTTTATTCAACAGTCAGCCAGATGCAGAAAATGCCAAATGAGTTCCATAGAAATGGATGCCTTATTAATAGCACAATCAGAGGTATGTTTAAACAATTGTGTGCGCAATTAATTTTTAGTCTGTCTTCCTCTTCAGACTGAAATCACAGAAGGATAATGATCCTGTTTCCATTGTAACTCTCTCCCCAATAGGTAGTCCATGAGTAATGCCTCAATAAATATTTGAGAAGAAGCAAAGGAAAGATGAACAGGGAAAGGAGGGTTAAATGGGGAAGAGAGAGAAGGAAAAGGGAATGAGAGACGGGGAGGAGAGGAGAAAGTAGCTAGTGTTCCGGAAGAGCGGTGAAATGGCCTTATGAATAAGCTGGAGTGTGTAGAGTAATGCCTGACAGAGCATGGAGAAAGAGAGGAAGTGGTTAAAACAAAAGAATGTCAAGACCTCTGGTACCGAGCTGTGCTGGAGGGGTCGTTCTCCCTCTGCAAATGTCTGTGTGTGTGTGTGGCTGTGCAGTGCCCAGGTGTCTTCTGACCCAAGCTGAGGCATCTTGGCTCCCCTAAGAGGTGAGCTGCACCTCTGGCAAGAGCCAAGGATGCCTGGGAAATGAGAACCATGCTAAAGACCATGCAGTCTGGACTCGGAATGAGCTGCCTCCAGCCTATGCTGAAGTCCAGAGTTAGTCTCTAGCCCACTTGTCTCTGAGGTGCTGCTGCATGTGTACTATGGGCTCAATACACACACCATTTTAAAACATCCCTAGACCCGGGACATAAAAAATCACAGGCTGTTATTGTAGTTCCTTGGCCCTCATTTGTAGCCACAATAGCTCTAAGTTTATTCCTTCCATTTCACACTGAACTTTGACCTGCACAGCTCGGTACACACACACACACACACACACACACACACACACACACACACACACACATTTCCCAAACTAATATAACAAGGCTGTCTGGAAGTCACAAGGTTGCTTTCAGGAAGGACTCAAAAGTAGGCAGGACTTGAGACAGGTGTGTTGCGTGCCAGGCCTTCTGCTAAGTACCTTCATTATAGGTTTTCCTCCAATCCTTGCAACACCCCTGCAAGGCAGGTGCTAGGGCAACCCCTGAAGCCAGAGAA